CTTGGAGACGAGTTATACCGAACCTTAACCCCGACTTGACATATGAAGAGAAATAAGTCCGGGTTTTGGATAGTCAAGTCAAATAGTTGAAGAATAAGGAGATTAGGCTAGTTAAAGTTATGTGGGAGAATCATGATCGCGAAGAAATGACATGGGAGATGGAGGAAGAGATGAGAGAAAAATACCCGATATTATTTGAATAGGTCAATTTCGAAGACGAAATTTCTTTTAATGAGGGGAGAAATATAACCTTCGTAAAATCCATAACCGTATAAGTGTACGTATCGAGATATTTATATTCATACGTATATATATAGTGTATCGGTTATATATGTAAAAATCCGTAACCGAGTCAAAATATGTATTGAAATATGTGGTATGTACATATTTGTTGAGAGTAATCGGTGTACGTAAATATTTAAGCAGAATAATTTTGGATGAATTAATTAGTAAATCCCTTGTAAAGTGATAATTGTCAAACATTTTGGGTGAAAATTTTTGGAAACATAACTAAATAAATTACCCTCAAATTAATCACAATTTAAGCCTCATTTACATTTCATCTTACCTCAAGCTATTGACACTTGGCTTGTTCATTAATTGGGAGAGGAAACATGATAATTTAAGCAAGGAAATGGATAAGGATGACTTTATTTTCTGGTGCATCCCGTTACTTACCCAAAAGAAAGAAAGAAAAAGTGAAAAAGAATGGAGAAAGGGAGAAAAACGGGAAGAAGAAGAAGGGAAAAAGAAAGGGAAACTAAAAGGAAGCCAAAAAGATTTTAGGAAAGTTTAATCCAAAGTAAGTAGGTTTCATTTTTTTTTTTTTTGCTTTGTTTATGCTTTCCATGTTTATTCTATGAGTTGTTTAATTCATGTAAAATATGATTATAGTATTTTGTGATGAATTTAAACACTTGATGTTTGATGATGGATGGTTATGCATGTGTGATGAGAAATGTTCTTTAAGAGAAGATTTCTGAATTTTAAGGGTGGAAAAACCCGAACTTGGTGTGATTTATTTCAGGATCTTAGAGTGATTTTTAGGAAAAATACAAAGAATAAAAGTTGTTGGTCTATGTGTTTACTATATCTCTTTAACATTTCGTGACTTTTAGAAATATATATATGGAGTTATGACTGACTTGGTATGGATTGTTCGAATGGACCATCTACTGAAAAAATATTTCATTCTGAAAGTTGTGTGATTTATTTCGGGATCATAGAGTGGTTTTTGGGCAGAACTCAAAGAAGGAAAGTTGTTCATCTATGTGTCTACTAGATGTATATAAACTTTCGTGATTTTTATATCTGTATGTAAGGATTTATGACTGATTTGGTACGGATAGTTTGAATGGATCACCTACTGGAAAAAAATTATTTAGTTCCGAAACTTGTGTAATTTATTTAAGGATTTTAGAATGATTTTGGAGGAAACTTAAAGAATGAAAGTTGTTGATCTTTGTGTCTACTATCTCTCCTTAAAAGTTCGTGAGTTTTAGATATATATTTAAGGAGTTATGGCTAATTTGGTATAGGTTGTTTAGGTGTACCACTGCTGAAAAAATTTTAACCTAAAACAAATGGGCTTGGACCAAAACAAAAAGGGGTTTAGATTCCATTAAATAGACTTAAGTAAAATGAGATGGGCTTGGATTTAAAAATAAAGTGAACTTAGATTAAAACAAATGGACTTGGGCTTGGATTAAAACAAATAAACTTGGATTAATGTTAATGGGCTTGGACTTAAATAAAATAAACTTGGCAATGGACTTGAACTAAAATCAAAGGGCTTGGTTTTAAAGTAGATAGGCTTAGACTAACGAAAATGGGCTTAGAATAAAATAAGTAGACTTAGATAGAAATAAAAAGGATTTGAAAATTTTAAAGAAAATTTATTCTTTCGGAGAGGACTAATAAAAAAAAAGAATTGGACCTTCTTTTAATTATTAATGAAACTAATGAATAATATTAATGAGCGGAGGTTTTGTTCCCGCTATGTGTACCATGATTGGTATCCGAGCGTCAAGTGAATCCCGAGTGTTGGTTAGACTGTGAGTATGGCTTGAGAAAGAAGGGTCGACACCCGAGTTTGGTTGAATGTGATTAAACATGTCATCACGTGCATCATGTGCATTGGGGGTGGAAATAAATTGAGAAAAATCATTGAGTCTTGAATTGACACGGTTTGGTAATCGAATTGAGTGGAATGGGTAATAGCAAGGAATCCATAGTGCGAGCTCTATTTACTAACACCGTTAAGTGAGGGATAATTCCGCTAATCGTGTGCTACAACGAGGGATAATTCCGTTGCGAGCAGATGGGTTATATTGAGATCACCGAGAAAAAGTAATAGAGCGAGTAGGTGATAACACGATCATCGAGAGATTGGGCGCACGGACTTACATATACCCGTGGTACCCGGATTAAAATAGATGAAAATGTGGGAAACACAATAGCATTGCATATCGGGTGCATCACCCTACTTGCCGAGCTTTGGCTCATTCCGTTATTGTATTTATGTGTTGTTCAAGCAATGACAACGTTAAACCGATCGAAGATGCTACCGGTTCTCGCTAAAAGAGGCTCATGTGTCACTCATAAAAATAGAAATATCTTTTGTGTCATTAAAAAGGGGTACGGGCCTAGTTTGTAAATTTTTAGGCATTTTGAATATTTTATAAATTATAGAACTATTTGTAATAATGTTGTAAATTATATCATACGTTTCCCACGGTTTAGTTTCGTTGTGTATGATGGAGGAAGTAGGGGACTTAGTCCCAACGAGTGTGTCGCACCGGTCACGCTTGTTAGGTAATAGGCAAGCGAGACGGGGCGTCACATATCATGTGCTAGAGCCCATTGGATCTATTGCTTGCCGACTTGACCTCCTACCGGGAAGTAAGATTCACCCGAGTATTTCATGTTACTCTTTTTAAAAAATAGTTAGGTGCAAGAGATATAGCCGATTCTAGTCTTCCAGGTAATATTAGAGAAATCGGGCCACTTATAACCCCAACCTACGGCAGTTTTAAATTCTCAAAAAATGGGGCATAAGCGAAAATTACTTATCCGGTGGTGAGGACTTCCACTAACTAACGCCACATGGGAAGATGAGTTTTCTTTTCATGAACAGTTTCTAGATTTTACTAGTCCTCGAGGATAAAGACCTTTCAACGGGGAAAGAATGTAATGCATGTAGTTACGTAGTATTTCCACATACACGTTGCTATTTTCATGCATGTAGTTACGTAGTATTTTCATACATATTGCTATTGGTCAAAGCGAGTTATATAATAGTGGGCTTAAGTTTAACAAGTTTGTGCTATTCTTTAGCCATACCTATCTTCGATTAGTTTTTTGTTATTTTCTAGTTATAGTTGCTATTTTATCTCTAGTATCGTTGAGACTCGTGAATATAAATGTACATTGTCTCCGAGCATGAAAGGCATTCCAAAAGATTACAAAAAATTATCTCCTAAATTGCTTCTATCCAAACCCTTCTTTTTGTTAAACTTTTGATCACAACACCATAACTCACGGTTGGGGACTAGTCATTGGATTAAGTCATAACGGATAGGTTGTTGGGTTGCGTTTTCGTGATGACCGACTTGGTGTTTCGATGAGGAGAGGGTGGTGGGCAACCGGTGTTTGGATGAGGAGAGGGTGGCCAATGGTCGGTTGCCGTAAAAGAGTGGTCGGCATTGGTGAGGCTCGATTGACGACAATTAAGGCTTTTTTTTTTGTTTTAGGAAGATGAAGAGTCACAATTTAGCCACTTTTATGGAGAGATGAATAGTTGCAACTCGTTAGAAAATGGGAGAGAAGAGGAATATTTATACGAGGACTAATTCGGGTTTTAAGTAAAGATTAATTTTAGTACTCGATTCTTACGTCTTTTCAATTTATGTGCAAAATCTCTTTTATTTTATTTCAATTATCTCCTTAATTGAGATTATTTAGCCTCTTTCTTTTTAATTTCTTCCCATTGCACCAACTCTTATCTTCAATTAAGGCTCTCAAGTTTTAAACTTTTTCAAATATACCCCAATTGAATTTCTTTTGGTTTTGCTTTCTCAAATCCTTTTTAATTGGACTCTTAAATTATTTTTATTCATTTATTTTTTAATTCTCTTTTCTTCTTTCTTTCTTTTCTTTCTCGTTTTCTTTCTTATTTTTTTTATTTAATTAAAATTAGGAGATAATTCTAAAAAATTAAATTTATAAAAATACCTAAAAACACCTAAAAATCATGAAAAAAAATTCAAGAAAGTGTGCAACATGCAATTTTTGAATTTTTTTTTTAATTTCGTATAAAAGTAAAAATTATGGAGAAAAATATAGATTACGACAAAGGTTATCGGATACTGGAATGATTACTTGACTTCCATCAAATAAGAACCAAACAAAGACTATTTTAAAAGTAAAAGTTTGATAATATGATAACTAAAAATAGATGAAAAAAAAACTAGTAAAAAATCAACCGGACCAGTAAAAGTTTTTAACCTCCTCTTAATGGCATACTTTCTAAGCTGTTGGATTACGAAGTTATGCATAGATACATCAAAGTACATCTTGATTGATTGTTGCTTATCTTTTTATTTATTTTTTTTAAATGGACGAGGGTTATTTGACCATTTCAAAATTATTCATAGATATGTCAAATTCATCTTCATTAATTGTTGCTTATCTTTTTTATTTTTTCATTAAATTGATGAGGGTTATCTGAACACTGCCATTACTTTTATTTTTATTTTTAAAAAGCGTAGGGTATTAAAGTGGAGCCACTAAAATAAAAGGTAAAGACAACAGTTTTAGAACAGGATAAAAACAGCGAATACGACACCGTATAACCATAAAATCGTTTTATTTTTTATTTTCTTTTTGGGTTTAATTTAATTTTGTTTTCTATTTTATTGGATAATAAAAGACGTATCTTCTGCAATTTTAGCTTCTTCTTCTCTCTAACAGGAAGAGAGGGGAAAAAAACCCCCAAAACCATGTCCACTCTTCCCATTCCTCCAACACCTCTTACCCTCTCACACAAGCCTTTCCATCTCTCTCTCAAAAACCCGTCTTTTCTTTTTCCAAGAAACCACACAAAAATATTGAAAAGACCTAGAATAACAGTCTTAGCCAAATCCAACGGTAACGATTCAGCAGACGCAACAGACCGGATAATTTCAGCCGTCTGTTACTTCTACCCATTTTTTGATGGAATCCAGTATGGCAAATACGTCATAACCCAAGTCTCTCCGATTCAAGCTCTCATCCAACCATTGTTCCCAGCTATAAAAGTCTTCAAGAGCTTCCCCTTAAATGGGTTTTTAGTGTTTCTGACTCTCTACTTCGTTGTTGTGAGAAATTCCAATTTTAGCAGATATGTGAGGTTCAATACGATGCAAGCTATTGTGCTTGATGTGCTGTTGATATTTCCTGATTTGTTAGAGAGGAGTTTTAATCCAAGAGATGGGGTGGGATTGGATTTATTGATGAGTTTGGACAGTACTGTGTTTTTGTACCTTTTGGTTTGTTTAATTTATGGGTCTACTTCTTGTTTGTTGGGTCAGATTCCTAGGCTGCCCATTGTTGCTGAGGCTGCTGATAGGCAAGTTCTCTAGATTACCCGGTTTTGGGTTTTGCTTGTTACTTTGTTTTTAATGTTGCTGTTTTAGTTTCACGCTTAGAGGCTATAATTGTGTTTGTATTTGGATTATGTTAATGTGGAATAATATAATTCATTCCTCAGTTTTTAGGTTCCACTCTTATCAGTGGTTTCTTGAAGTGATTACATTTCTGCATCTGATGGTTTCATTCTTGGAAGTGATGACATTTCTCCATCTGATAGTTTCATTCTTGAAATTCGAATACAAATGGGCCAAGGATCTGTTAGATGCATATGAATTCTTTTAGATTTGTATGAGTTTGAAATACAATTTTCTTTATTAGATGTATAATCAGTATATTTGTTGTTATACGCGTTTCTCTATGGAAAAGAGAGGAGATAAATAAGCAGGGGATTTGGAAGTGTGAATAATAGTCCTTTTCAGGATTGAGTTATAAGAACAATGTTCCACCGGACCAACCAACCCCGGCTCTACGGATATCCCCTCGATGTATGGAGGAAAGAAAGCACTTGCAGGTAAATACTTGACGGACCAAGCGCACAAATTTACATTACCTTGCCCTGAGTTGTCAAAAGTAGACCCAGGAGTCGCAATTGCCTCACACAATGCTCATTGCCTCGCTCTACAGGGTTAGAGAAGGTTGTCTTCATTGACCAGGCGCACACGAGAGAATGGGAACTCTATGGCTGCCACCATGCATGAAAGCACGCTTCATAAGGAAAGGGAAAGCCCTCAGTAGTAGGATGCACTACCGCCACCGCCCTCCCTCTGTCCGTCTTCTCCGTGTCATATGAAAAGTCCAAATTTGAATGATCATATTGACCAACATTGGAATTTGGAGACAGCAAAAAGGGAATGGGCAACCCTACAATCTGAAAGAAAAGAATCCACCTCCTTACTCCAAAAAAACCTTCTGTTTTAGAACAGTGCTATCCAAGCTGTAGTAATAGCTGCATTCCACGAGCGTTTTCATTACGGTGTCTATTAGCAGCCCTTGAACACTCAGCTCACTAGCCAAAAGCCGGGTATTTTCAAAGTGCGCTTTTAATTCACGAGCAAACAGCATTACTTGGACCCACCCGCCAACCATCTACCAATTTGATTTCAATTTGGACCATACCAAATCTATTTTATGCAGGCAACCCAAGTCTGGCTGCCTTTGTTGTGATTTGTGATGCCCAAGCCCAGCCCTGTATGTAAAACCTCAACTGCAAGCCTGGAATAAACCTCAACTACAAGCCTGGAATGTGTTCAACGGATGGGAAGTTTATGAAAACTAGAAGGATATCGATGCTTTTATTGCAAAGAGGGAGGACAATAAAATTGAGTTAATTACTAGTCTCGTCCCTCTACTGTAGTCATTTGATTAAATGAGTCTCTCTAATATTTGATTCGACGAAATGAGCTCCTTTACGATGAATTTCGTGTATAATCAGGACTTTCATCCAAAACGCTCTTAACATTTATTTGTTGATGACCCACAATGTTCATAATAGCCAAATTTAACCAGATCTTTAATTTCTTAGAGAAAAAATGGATTGATAAGCTAACGGTATTTTTAGGACATTCGTTAAACATCTTCTAAATACATTTATTGTATTTTATTTATTATTGAATTGGATAAAAATAAATAAATATTTTAATTAAAATGAATGGTATTGATTATAGATATTAAGCAAGTGTTATCTATATGTAAACATTTTTAAGTGTTGACAATTTAGCTAAAAATAAATATAAATATTGATTTGAAGCAACAAACGACTCTTAATAAGTGCTCTAAAAAAAAACATTATCCCCTTAATTTACAGTCATTTGCATTACCATTAATTTTCATAGCCATTATTGATGTTGTTTCCCTGCAAGTCCTTTCTTTCTCTTATGCTTATTCTTTCTATTTAGGGGGTGAGCAAACAGTAATTTGATTCGGATTTCGATTATCCGAATTATGAGGAATAAAAACTAAAACTAAATCGAATTGAAATTCAGTTTTTCAATTAAAAATCAAAGTTTTAGTTTTCGGTTTTCGGTTTAAATTGATTTAAAAAAAAAAAAATTTCAAATGGGCTTTGAGCCTCTATTCAAAGGTTTTCTATTTTTTAGCATATGGACTGGGCCATTTCTTATCTTACCAACTTCCCTTGCAGTGTTGCCTATAAAAAGAACAATTGTGCATTGGAGTTCGTTTCAGAAATTCTAAGCATTATTCAACTTCCAAAACATGAAAAAGTATAGCATTGAAAAATCCTAGGTAACACAAACATTACATAAATCAATAAACACATCAGCAGAAAGTGAAAGTGAAAGAGAATGTCATGAGTGCTTAGAGTATTTTACTAAACACTAAAAGATATGGGACTGTGAACTTCCCAGCCCTTTATACTATTCATTTGAACAATGATTGTTTTTTTTTAAAGCCAAGATCTTTTTTTTTTTTTTTGTCCTTCTGCTTTCTGTAGCCAAGGTCTTCTTTTTGCTTTTAGTAATTTTTTTTTTAAATTTTTATAATGATATTTTTCGTGACTTCTTTATAATTTTTTTATTTATTTTTAAATTTTACACTTCATTTTTATGTCCTTTATGTTTTTAAATCCTCATATTTTTAAAAATATTTTTGAAATCTCATGTTTTTAATTCAGTCTATTTTTAGCTCTTTTTTTTTTTCAAAATATACTTGCTGTTCCTCATATTTTTTTAAAATATTTTTGGCCTCTTATATTTTTAAATTTTAGAACAAACACATATATCGAATTAAAAAAAAAAATTTAGCCAAGGCCCTCTTTCGTTTTTGCTTTTTTTTTTTTTCCATCCACTTTCTGTAACCAAGGCCCTCTTTTGGCTTTTAGTAAACTTTTTTATTTTTATTTTCTACAATGATATTTTTGTGATTTCCTTATAGTTTTTTTTTCAATTCATTCTCAAATTTTACACTTCATTTTTTTGTCCTTTATGTTTTCAAATATTTTTAAATCCTCGTATTTTTAAAAGTATTTTGAAATCTCATGTTTTTAATTTAGTTTATTTTTACCTCACTTTTTGTTCCTCATATGTTTAAAAAATATTTTTGTCCTCTTATGTTTTTTAAATTTTAGAACAAACATATATATCGAATTATATTTTTTTATTGATTAAAATTAATCTTTTAAATTTGTTGTTTATTATAAAAATTCTCACCAAATTAATTTTTTTATGAAATTTTATTTGTTGATAAATATGATTTATTTTTTTTAGCTTTGTTGAAAATTAATTATGTTTACGCATACATAACACTATTAGTCCCTTCGGTTCAAAATTTTTTTTTCCTTTTTCTATTTCAATGTTTTTGTTTTTTGTTTTAAAAAATAGAGAAAGACTAAAAAATATAGGACAAAAATTTGAAAAAAAGACTTTTTAAAAATAAAAAAATAAATTATTCGTGGTCAACACTAATAAAAAATTAATCAATTCATTTTTCAAAACGAGATGAACTAATTTATTATTTAATTTTCAATTTAAGAATCTCTTTCATCATAAATTAAGAAGTAAGATTTATAAGAATCAATTTTGTAGTAGTTTTTATTTCAAATTATTGATTTTAATATATTCCATACAACTTAGATGGTTTTTTTTTTAAAAAAAATATTCATATTATATAATCCGAATCTACTAAGTATAATCTTAATATATATATATAGTTTTTTTTAATTAATTATGTATCTAATTACATAACACCATTAGTTCTTTTGATTCAAAAAAATAATTTTTTTTTGTCCTTTATGCTATATCAATGGTTCTATATTTTTTTTTAATAAATAGGGGAAGAATAAAAAAAGTAAAAATATGAAATACACACACACACAATTAGTTTTGTTAGAAATTAATTATGTATCTACGTACATAACACTAATTATTTATAATTTATTCTTTTTTATATTTTAAAATTAATATTTTTAAATAAAATAATTAAAATATATATCATTAGTTTTGTTATAAATTAATTATGTATTTACACATATAACCCCAATTATTTATTATTTTTTTATGTTCTAAAATCAATTTACATTAATTATGAAAAATAAGATTTTTACCTACACTACATCATACAAATCGTTAACCTTACATACACGATTGTCTTACTGCAGATATAGTGTGGGTATCCAAGTCGTTTAGGCTAAATGAAAATGGTAAGAGTACAACCCCATACAATTGAGATTCGACCAAACATAGTTATGATCCAAGTTTCTAAATATTTGGGCTAAATGAAAACAATAAGAGTGCAACTCCATGTAGTTGAGATTCGACCAAGCACAACTATGAGCTTAAATACATATGATAGTAACTATTGTTTCTTTTGACATTATCTCCAAATAAAGGGGTGACGTTGATGCTTGGCGGGTTTAGCGAATGCCTCTTGGGAAAGGATGGGGAATTGAGAAAAAGGAGTCGCCATTAAATATCGAAAAAACTAAAAAAACTCTATAAAAGATTAGTTTACACATGTATCTAGATAAATGGTTGATTACGAGTGGAGAAGATCATGATCACCACCACCACATTCTATCTAAGGTAGGTTACATTGCATACATGTGGAAGTTAAGAAAAATCTAGTCATAACATGTTATGAGTTTATGCATATTTGAGTGAATTTGTTTTATTAGGACAATTGAGTAATTTTAGAGACACAAAGCGATCAAAGGTCTATTTTCATACTCTAAATGAATGAAAGAAAACATTTAAAAAATGACGATTCCCTAATGACTTTAGCCCATAACACATAAATTTGGTGAGTATCTTGAGACATAGGCTAGTCAAAGGTTTATTTTCATCCTCTAAAATGTAAGAAAGAAAATGTTTAAACAACGACGAGCTCCTAATGGTTGTAGCACATAATCATAAAAACTTGGTGAGTCATTAACAACTGCGACCTATAAACATTGGATTTGGTGAGATAGAGTTGGTCAAAAGCTTATTTTACACTCTAAGGTATAAATAAAAAGTATTCAAGAATTGGTTAGCTT